CCAGAGGGGCTGCAGCCATTCCAGAATTTGCTGTATCTCCCCCAACCCAACATTGTATACCTGGAGTTCCAAAAGGCCTTTGATCTGGTTTCCCATGAGACTATCATGGGATAATTGGAGGATTGCGGGCTTAACTGCTTGACAGTTAGGTGGGTAGGAAGCTGGCTGCGGGCTAGGACCCAGAGAGCTCTAATGAACAGATCTGTGTCATCCTGGCAAGAAGTGGCCAGTGGTGTCCCTTAAGGGTCCATGCTTGGTCCAGTGCTTATCAACTAGTCAGAGGGGACCAGCAGGCACTGGGGAAGTCCCTGTTCCCCTGAGCACTACCAGGAGTGACAAGGAATAACGGTCACAAGCTGGCAGAGAGTAGATCTAGGCTAGGTAGTAGGAGGCGCTACTTCATGGTCAGGGCGGCTAGGATCTGGAACCAACTTCCAAGAGAAGTGGTGTTGGCTTCTACCCCGGGGGTCTTTAAGAGGAGGCTAGATGAACACCTTGGTGGGGTTGTTTGACCCCAGTACTCTTTCCTGCCATGGCAGGGGGTTGGACTCGATGATCTGCTCAGGTCCCTTCGGACCCTAGAAACTATGAAACATCTTTATTAATGATTTGGATGGGGGGGTGAAGAGCCCACTGGCCAAGTTCGCAGATGACACTAAATTATGGGGGAATGTGGTCATGCTTGAAGATAGGTTGCAGATACAGGCAGACCTAGACAGGCTGGCAAGTTGGGCAGATCAGAACCAAATGAAGTTCAACATTCAGAAGTGTAAAGTGCTCTATCTGGGGACAAACAATCTCTAACATACTTGCAGGCTCAGTGGCACCAAACTGACTAGCACCATGACTGAAAGGGACCTAGGGGTAATGATAGACCCAGTATGAATATGAGCCATCAGTGCAATGCTGTAGCCAGCAGAGCAAACAGTAGTCTGGCATGCATCAACCAATGCATCGCAAGCAAAACCAAGGAAGTGATTCTTCCACTCTACTCAGCATTGGTGAGACCGCAGCTGGAGTACTGCGGCCAGTTTTGGGCACCGCACTTCAACAAGGACGTGGAAAAGCTTGAGAGAGTCCAGAGAAGAGCCACTCGTATGATCAGAGACTTGCAAAGCAAGCCATATGAGGAAAGGCTGAGGGACCTGGGCCTCTTCAGCCTAAAAAAGAGAAGGTTGAGAGGGGACTTTGGTAGCATCTTGCTGCTACATCAGGGGAATACAACAAGGGCTCAGCGAACAACTGTTCACCAAGGCATCCTTGGGGAAAGCCAGGAGTAATGGCCACACTCCTGGAAGACTGTTTCAGGCTTAACACTAGGGAAAAACTTCTTCACAGTTTGGGTGTCCAGACTGTGGAATAAACTCCCTTCAGATTTGGTGCAATCGCCTACACTGGAAATCTTCAAGAGGGGACTGGACAGTCACTTGACCCCAGTTGTCTTTCCTACCTGGTACAGGGTAGCTGGACCCAATGATCTTGCAAAGTCCCTTCCAGCTCCTTACAATCTGAATCTATGAATACCCCACTTCCAGCACTGCCAACACCCCTGCCAGGAACAGCTCAGCACTGCCCTGGCCCCACCCTCAGCAGTGTTCTGCTTTCACCCCATGTGCAGACCTGGGGGCACACACCCCCCCATTCCCTCCTGGGGGGGTGTGTAGTGACAGGAGCTGCCCCCCTGTGTGTGGCTCAGTACTGTGCTCCACCCCAGCTGGGCAGCCCCTGCCCCACTCCATCCCCGTTGGAGCCTTGATCTGCCCTCCCACGCCCCTTCCCTCACAACAGACTTACCAGCCGGACCCAGCTGCTCTCCATGCTGCGGGGCTGCTCACCAGGCACACGCGGCATTTATCGGCCATATCAGTTCTGCATACTCCCTGAAACTTTTTTAAGTACCCCTAGGGATATGCGTACCCCTGGTTGACAGCCACCAATCTATGATATGCAGAAATACAGTTTACTTTAATTTTTGTTTAACTTTTCCAGGACAGAGACCAAACTCACAAGGATGAAAGCCTCACTCTGTTACAGACTTTAATTTGTAACAAGAATTTTCTTGTTACTCTCATTCACACCTTTGAAAAGCAGAAAACCTTCTCGGTGAAAGATAGGTATAGTATTATTATGCTGTTATGTTTATTCTGCTCAAACCGTAGAATTAAAAAAAAAAAAAAAAAGCAGGCTATGACCCACAGATATAATTTCATTCTATACAGCATAGACCTAAATATTTCCAAATCTTTCCCCACATTCATTGTCTTTTTTTAAATTCACAAGGCAAGAACAAATTGCCATGAAACAAGTTATTACCAATAGAAATCAGCAAATGTAGATATGTAAACATGTAGTAAGGCAGGAAGACACTTCACCTCAAAACTGTAAGAACTTCCTGCATTTTTATCTACAGTTTTATGATCTGAAACTTCTCTTGCCTTGAACTAGATGCTGTTATTCTTCAGAACAGAATTCAGATGTATAAATTATGTTTTAAAATCTCTAGACCAGATGTTCCTTCACACTTCATATTTTTGGTCGCTAAAGAATGAAGATTCAGAATGTATAGGCATAACCTGAAGATATATGCTCATCTGAACAATTATCACAGTAAACTATTATGAAAGGCTTCTGACTCCTTTCACTTGTCATAGGTGATTGGAAAAGCAAAATCCAAATCCATTTAGCTTTGTCTTTATTTTTTGTAAACAGGTGTTTGTTTGCTTCCTACTTGACCATTGCACTACAAACTAAGCTAGTCTACCTAACCCGTATTCTAGAAGTCTTGACAAAGGACTTGATGGAGCAGTCTAGCAACGTGCAACCTAAGCTCATGCTAAGGCGCACAGAATCAGTGGTAGAAAAACTGCTAACAAATTGGATGTCCGTTTGTCTTTCTGGTTTCCTCCGGGTAAGTTTGATCTTTCCACTATGTAAGAGGCAAGAACAAGGAATATTTTTAACAGAGAGACTACAGACTTTTTCCTTATGCAGCTCTGATAGACTTTCTGTTCAGTGCACTGTACCTAGCACTCCATGCTATTAATATGCATTGCTCAAGTCTTGATTACTTCCATGGGCAGCTATCACCCTGCGTATGCAAGAAAAGAGCAGCTCTCTAAATAACAATCATAGTCGTCAACCTCGAGGGCTTGGGGTTAGATCAGTTTGCCGTCTTGATATTTGCTTCTCAAATACTTATTTGGTAATGTCAGAAGAGTTGCACTGTAATTGGAATGCACAGTGAAGCCTTCTCCATAAAAACTGTCATTTTGAAAAAAAGCGTTTCTGTCTTGGCTTTTAGCTGGTATTATTACAAAGAGTACTTAAACTACTAGAACTGAAAGAGCTTGGGGGGGTGAAATGCCCTCACCCATTTTTCTGTTTGTTTCATCTAGTGGATGTGGTAGCATTTTGTGTATGGTTTCAGTGTTTGGTTATACTTCCTGCCTCATGCACTAAAATGATGCTATCACTTCCATGCCATGCCTTGGTAGGAATTTACATGCTCTGCTCTAGATGCTGCAAAAGGGTGGGGGGTTTTCTACTGCAAAAAGCAGCAGAGCTCTTTGGGTCCATTTTCTGGGACTCCATCCAGCACAGAGCCAGAGAGTGGTCAAGTGAGATATATTCTTCAACCCTCATTCCTCTTCATTGACTGGAAGAGCTGGGGTAATCTTGGGATATAAGGTGTCCTGCAGAGGGTGGAGGAAGAAAGATGCACAAGAAGGGATCCCCGTTATTCCCAGACTACTTGCTGGATTTGGGAGATAAATGGGAGCCAGAGACTGAGGTGGAAGAAAGCAATTTCTTCTTCACTTTCCCTTTCATGAGACCTTAAGACCAAGGCCTGGTAAGGAAGGAAGGCAATGCCCTTCTTTTTCTCACCAGACTGGGAAAGCAGACGACACAGGGACATGTGTGCACACCTCCAGTTGCTGACTGTGCAGAAGAGGTTGCAAAGTGTGGAAAGGTTCCTCTCTGCACACTAGAAGAAGCAGCTGGAGCTAGAGAGACAAAGGCAAGTCCCTCTAGGAGAGCTCCAGAAGCTGAGCAAACGGTATCAGGAGAGATGTGAAAGTACACTCTAGCCATCAGCTGCTTCATTGGTGCCTGTGGGTAACCTAGGTCTTAGAGAGGTCATACTAGAAGCCCTGGGTGGGATCTGCAGTTCGCCCTGGTCCTTCACACTGAGGCAAGGAAGGGAAAGAATACAGATCAATAGATGAACCTGGTCAGATATTAGTTTATGCATTACAGGGCAGCTGAACAAATTGGTCAAAAGGAAGTTGCCTTTGTTTGTTGAACTTGACGGACTTCAAGTTGTTGGCATCCCGTTAGAGTTTCTGTGAGACTACAAACACAGAAGTAAACTTCTTGCATGTTGGCTTTATTTTTTAGGAGACGGTTGGTGAAACTTTTTATTTGCTTGTGACAGCCCTGAATCAGAGGATAAACAAAGGTCCTGTGGATGTAATAACTTGCAAAGCCCTCAACACATTAAATGAAGACTGGCTGCTGTGGCAAGTGACTGAATTCAGCACATTGGTAGGTTTCCCGGTCCAGTTTCCCTCCAAATGTTGAAAGAACCTGTAACATTCCCCTTTTGGCAGGAAGCAAAATTAAGGCTCTCAGAGGTAGTGATAGAAATGGTATCGATTACTGACACAGCTGCAGAAGTACAGTGAGCTCTAGTTAGCCTGGGTTTGACCAAAAAAAAATGTGGTCTTATGGTATTAACATTTCCTTCCACTTATAAAGTGTACTGAAGAACACACAAAGTACCCTATGAATTTAAACCTGATTACGCTAATCAAATGAACAGAAGGAAGGTTGGTTGTGTTGCAGTACGCTTTATTTTGTTATTGTATTTTCTTGCTAGATAGCCCTGTGAGTCAGTAATTCACTCGGAGCCTTTCTGTAATTTAACTGCGAATTACAAACTGAAACTGGAAGCCCGGAAAGTCCTGGGTACAGTCAGGGGTCTCGGGGCTTCCAACCTCCCAGTGCTGCAAGCGGTCTTCCTCCAAAGCGTTTCATCTGGAGCTGGAACTCCCTGGACTTCTAAAGGTTGCAGATCCTGCCTTTGCATTGGGGAGTCTAGAAGTCCTGGGTTCCTCAGTCCGGGAGCAGTCCACATAGAGGGGCTGTCCCAGCTTCTGCAACTATGAGTTGGAGGCCTGTTCACACTGCCTCAGAGCTACAGCCCCTCAAGTCCAGGTTCCTCACCAGATGAGCTGGCAGAAAACCAGGCATGTTTTCCCTCACAGTTTGTTGATACTGATAATTTTCTCTGCAAGATTTCCAAATGCCCAAATAGCAAAAACTGTTGTGTTGAACGATTTGTAACCAGCACTTCTTATAGCTGCAGTCCAGCTATTATTGAAGGCATCATTTAGAGCTATTTCAAGCACAATCAGCAAAATACCTGTTTTAAGGAAAGTCCATTGGAAAAAGCAATCGAATGTTCTAGCCCCTATGTAATATAACATTAGGGTAGTTTGCTTTGTTTGTTCTGCTGCTTTTGTAACAAATACTTGTTGATGCACAGAATTTTGCATGTCCCAGTGTACAGTGTTGCAGGATATAAAAGCCATTAATTATGTATGCAACGGACCAGTTCCTATTGGTTCAGAGAAAGGCAGCAAGTCTTGTTTAATAGGTGGTTCTCCTTATTTCTAGCCCTAACACATACCAAAAGGAGTTTACTCCTAAGGGAGTGCAGTACATAGTTCCTGCTGAAAAGTCTGCCTGACATTAGAGTGTATTGTTACTTAGGAGATGAAGACTAAGGGTCTATGAGCACAGTTAAGCAAACAGTTTAAGCATGTGCTTACATTTAAACAGATGACTAATTCCATTGACTTTAATGGGACTATTCAGATGATTCAAGTGCCTTAAATGCTTTGTTGGTTGCTATGTGGGCTGGTAAGATATGCCAGCACTGAAGACAGAAGTCTAAGGGTCTCAC